ACTAGTAGCTTCTTGTTACTAGTAGCGATGCCCTTTGTTCCTAGTAGGGATGCCCTTTGTTCCTAGTAGCTTCCTGTTCCTAGTAGTAAGGCCAAGAGCTACTAGTAGCTTCTTGTTACTAGTAGCGATGCCCTTTGTTCCTAGTAGCTTGTTCCCAGTAGTAAGGCCAAGAGTTACTAGTAGCTTCTTGTTACTAGTAGCGATGCCCTTTGTTCCTAGTAGCTTCCTGTTCCTAGTAGTAACGCCAAGAGCTACTAGTAGCTTCTTGTTACTAGTAGCGATGCCCTTTGTTCCTAGTAGCTTGTTCCTAGTAGTAAGGCCAGGAGCCCCTAGTAGCGTCCTTGCTACTAGTAGCGATGCCCTTTGCTCCTAGTAGCTTCTTGCTGCTATGAGTAAGGACCTTGGATGGACTTCAGTGCTCCTTGCCTCTTGCTATGAACAAAAGACCCGTTTTTGTCAAACCTCAGGAACTTCACATCGATCTATTAGATTGGAGGCCATCGCTCTTAGAAACAAGGTATCATTTATGTTTTTCAAACTTCAGGGACTTCATAAATCAATCTGCGACGCCAGGGCATTGACGTGCATAGAACCGGTGCAAGCGTTCAGCCTTCGTCGACTGTGCACAGTCTTTGCTTCAAAAGGCAGTCTTGGATTCAACTACCCCTTGCAACTATCGAAACAAACACTACTATGACCATGCCTTTTAAGACCATATTCATGTGTTCTATGTCCTTTTTTTCATTCCTTGTTTCTTTCTACTCTTTCTTCCTTTGTTCTTTCCTTGTTTTCCTTGCTGTTCTTTCCGGCTGCCCTGACATTGCCCTTATCAATGATAAGTTATCACTGCTCTTCCCTCGCCTCTGACGTAGTAGGTCTCAACCTGCTGAACAATGCCCATACAATCCAATGTGTGGAGGAATCGCTACTAGGGTGGAGGCCATCGCTCTTAGGTTGGAGGCCGCACATCGTGTTCCAACATGTTCCCCTTTCAACTCCTCATTGGTCATTTTCCCACCTCTGTTACTGCTTCTTTACTTCCCCTTACTCTACCTTGGCTCGCACTTAGGGTCATTGGTTGTCACTGCACCATTGCTGGAGTGCTTGTTTGAGTAAGGTCTTGACTTGAAACTCCCTATTTCTTGTTACAAACCACTAAAACATCGCTAAACAAGACCTTTGCCCAAGCCTGTGCAAAGCATTGCACAGCAGCGACACGTCCCGAGCAGACCAGGTCTTCTCAATCCTCGGATGCTTGAAGAATGTGTAGACCGGAAAGCAAGCAAATGATGGTAGCAGGGCGCAGAGATAGTTAATCAAACAAACGGGCACTGAGTAGTAGCAAATAGTAGCAAGGTTGACAATGGATGCAGTCTACTGCGGTTCTTGGATTCCAAGCGAATCTAGTACGGCAGTGACGTCATGTTCAGAGTCAAGAAAGCGTAGTCAATAGCGTAAGGGACTCTCTTGCGTATAAAGAGATATATTAATTATATATATTATATTGATGTCACTATTGATGTCTTTTGTTTGCGTAGCAAGAGGGTAGTCAAACACATTCCAATCGGTCTAGACATCGACGCTTTCGGTGTAGGCGAATTGGACGAACCTAAAACGACATCATGTCTTCAAGCAATGGCCTCCCAACCTAGTAGGGTGGCTGGCCTCTACCCTAGTAGCTTCTAGTTTCTAGAAAGGGAGAATGCTCCTAGTAGCGATGCCAAGAGCCCCTAATGGCGCCCGATCGCTCCTAGTAGCGATGCCCTTTGCTCCGTTCGTAGCTTTCTTGTTCCTAGAGATGGCCTCCAACCTCCTTTGAGCTTCGGACATCACATCTTCAAGCATCTCCAAATTCTGCTGCAGGAGCGCCTGTCAGGGGGGTAGGCCGATAGACAAAGGGTAGGGGGTAGGCTTGTAGCTAACGGTCGCTAGTAGAAGCACACGGAAGTTGCTAGCTACAAGAACGCTACTACCTAGGATGCAGGATAGCTCATTCTTCAAGGAAGCGATCGCACTATTCATGTGGTTCCTAGATTTGTTGAAACTAAGTGGAGACTACCTACTTATTTAAGTGAAGGAGTAATTAATTCAGCTGCTAGCTACTTTAGCTACTACATACTGGACGCAGGATATCTCATGCTTCCTTGAAGAAGTGCTCGCACTAATGATTTGGTTCTGAGATTTCGGGGAAACTTAAGGATAACCTCCATGAACTTACTACTAGGAGCAAGGACGCTACTAGGGGCTCCTGGCCTTACTA